GTCATTGAACATCGTCGGAATCACCCCTCCAGGAATTGTGCGGAACACAAATTCCCTTCGACGGATTCTCAGCAAACATCAAAGCCAGTGGCATGAGGTCGGGTGACTAGGAACAACAGTCCCAAAATCGACAGAATCAGACTTACAACAAGCACGACATATGTCGTCGGAACAAGCCCGGCAACTCCAAAGCCAAATCTCAAGACTCGCTTGGGTGAGCGCAGTAGCGCATCGTACCTGCTCAGCCAACCTTCTTGGGCTTCCATAATCCAACTGGTGTGAGAAGATGTGATGGGTACGGAGGTCTCGCTTTGCTGGTTATGTGGCTCAGTCACCTGAGCTCCCTTGGATGCATGTCTCGAAGAAGAGGGGAAGCTTGTCCCCACAAGTCAACATTTTGAGATCAAGATCTAGATACGAAGGAAGGGGGAGTTTACCGTCGTCAAATCAGTCTGGCAGATGCCGTGCCAATAGGCGCCCATCTCTTTCTGCAGCCAGAACCCAATCGAGGCCGCTCCTTCGATATGCTCTGCCACCCAGGAAGATTCTGTGCCTCACTGGATGGTGCCTTTTTCAAAGTCCAACGAATGCGCTCGATCTCAAGGGTATCCAAACTGTCGAGTGAATCCGATGCCGCGAACAGCATCAGCATGTCTGCTAGCGAAACCGGATCCCACTCTAATCCAGTTCGCTTGTCCCAGAGTGAAACCGCCACACAGCATCACATGCAGACCAAAGGCAAACAGTCGAGACCAGGGCTACACCTGTCGATTTTGACGTGGTGACGAAATAGATGTCGAGGGCGCCGGAAATTGATTGTTTGATAAGCAGTGAGCCTTTCAGCCGTCCAATTAACAAAAATGCAAACAGGTAAGTCAGTACACTGACACATAAGCAGAAGGCACTCTCGATTGCTGCCGATCCGCCTCAATGGTAGACCAGGGAAACATGCAGCAAAGATCGTCTGAGCTGCTTTCGGTCTGTGTGACGATGGTTCTGTCGATGATTCTGCCATTCTGATGAAAGGAGTCATCCTTGCAAGACTACTGCCAACAGTTTTGCAACATTGCTGTTGATACTGTGCCAACAATGGCAGGTTAAATAACACACGGTAAATCAACTCGAGGTTGCTATGACACAAAAGATCCGAGCTTTTTTTTTTTTTTTTTTTTTTTTTTTTTGAAATGAACCAAAGCTCCCAGGGCTCCAATGATTGCCGGGTGAATTGCGACGATGAAGACCAAGACATATTTCTGTAAATGGACCTGGAGGACGTCCAGGGGAGGAAGACCGGGAAGGTCTGCCACAGGCTCAAAAGCTGAAAGCTCAGCACACGGAATATTAGCATCCTCGAAACAAGCGGTGCTCGCGAGGAATTATCTTTTCCCTCCGAGGACGGCTGTGGTGACAGAGCCTTTCGGACGACATCTACTCCAGCAATGTTGTTAGGAGAGTCGTTCGACGCTTGTCCTGAATCATGGGGAAGACGTGGTGGGTTGGGTGCGATGAGGCGCTCAGCCAGGAGAGGATTTCCTGACTCGGTGCGGCCACCAATGCCAGCATTTTGGACATGGGTGTGTAGGTCGTCTGTATCCAAAGCAAAGGTCATTCCTCTGGTGGGAGCTCGTCGAGGCGTAGCATTGGCTAGGTTGGCCGAGACGTACTATCCGGCTTCCAAGTGCGAAGTACGCGAGCGTCGAATGGTATTGATGCCATCTTCGATGATGGGAAGTGTGAGGTTTTTTGGCCTCAAACGAAACTGCAAATATAGAATCACCCAAGGCCACGGTTTCTGTGCTAGTAGGAGTTTTTGGTGTCAGGCTGCCTTGCATATTTTAGGCCCCGCAATCTTTCGAAGCGCGGACAGAAGAACCCATTGTACGGTACCTCGTATGTGTCCCGGACGGCCGAAGAGTCGGGGGTCGTAGTCCTTGTAAGTTGCAACTTCTCCAAAGCGTGAGGCTGCAAAGGAGGCCGCTTGCTGGTTGCAGACTGCAGTTGACTCGCCGAGCGGGCGTATTCGATGTCATACTGCAACGGTCTTTTCCACACCACAACAAACAGGCAAAGTCAAGCAGCAAGAGAGTTTGGAATGAGCGACGTCCATGTATCTCTTCCACCCTTCCCTTTCAATGCCACAACTCTCCGATCTTCCCTGAAGGATACATGTATGGCCGGGGTATCGAGGACCTGAAGTGATCAAGTGGACAGCGAATGGGAGGCAGATCAACTTCTCCCCTTCTGGTGGTGACCCCCTTACCCCTCAGCCTCGAGCACTGGTATCCTATCCAGTGTAACACAATATTCACGGCATTCTCTTCGCTGCTCGATGCGGGGAAGGGCGGAAGATTTTGGATTGCCAGGCTACCATTGCCTCGGTCTGGGGCGCCAGAGCCGTCAGGAATCCAGCCCACTACCCTATTAGGCCAAGGCCCAACAGCCCCAGCCGGGATTTTGTCCGGCGCCCATATCCGACCGACCCTGATGCGTGCAGGCGACCGGCGACTTGATAAACCTGTGCATCTTTCCCCGATTTACGAAATAATATCACTCCATCTCCTGACGGTCTGTCAATCATCAGGTCAGGTTCTGCGTGTGCTGCCGTGGGTCTGTGTGTCTGTGTGGAAAACCTGCAGCGCAGCAAACAATGTCCAAAACGCTCAACGGCAACGAAGTCGCGCAGCACGCCTCACGAGAGTCGTGCTGGATCATCGTCTCGGGCAAAGTCTACGATGTCACCGGCTACCTAGACAAACACCCCGGCGGCCCACAGATACTGTTGCAGTATGGCGGGAAGGATGCCACGGCCATGTACGAACCCATCCATCCCCCGGGCACAATCGAACGCAATCTACCCAAAGACAAGCACTTGGGCTCTGTAGATCCAGCCACGATGTCGAGTCCGTCTTCATCCCAAGTCACTCGGGATCCCGACAAGGCAGCCAAAATCCCACTCGCCCACTGCATGAACCTGGACGACGTCGAAAAGGCCGCCACGCGCATCATCCCTCACAGCGCCTACGTCTACTTTAGCTCTGCAGCCGACAGCCTCGGGTCTCTGACGAACAACCGGCAAGACTGGAAGAAAGTCACCCTGCGCCCGCGGGTAATGCGCAATGTCCGGCGGGTCGACATGACCCGGGTCATGCTGGGGACCAAATTTCGGCTGCCCTTTTTCATCGCCCCGGCTGCACGGGCGAGGCTGGTGCACGAGGATGGCGAGCTGTGTCTGGCGAGGGGTGCGGCGAGACGAGGGATCCCTTATTGTCCGAGCACGTATTCGACCGTGCCGCACGACGAACTCATGCAGTGCTTGACCGAGGAAAAGAAGAAGGTGCGCTTTCGCAACTTTTCGCCCGAGGACGGCGGCACGCTGTGGTTCCAGCTGTACGTCGCGCACGAGAAGAGTCGCACGATCGAGTTGATCGCCATGGCACGAGATCTGGGTTACAAGGCGTTGGTCATCACGGTTGACACGCCTGTGGTTGGCAAGCGCGAGGAGGACGAACGCTACCGCGCCGAGCTAGCGACCGCGAGCGGAGATAATTCCGTCTTGACGGAATGGTACAAACCGGCCAACGAAGACGACGAAAACGGCCCTCCACTCCGGGGCCATCATTCCTCGACGTTGAACTGGGATGATTTGCCCTGGATCCGCGAGGCGTGGTGCAAGGGCAGGGCTGATGCCGGGCCGATTGGGATCAAGGGCATCCAAACCGCGGAAGACGCCGCGCTCGCGGTCGAATATGGCGTCGATGCCATCTATCTGAGCAATCACGGCGGCCGACAGTGCGATGACGCGCCCTCGTCCATCCGCACTCTGCTCGAGATCAGGAAGTTCTACCCCGAGTTGATGAAGAAGACCGAGGTATACTTGGACGGAGGAGTTAGGAGGGGCGCGGATGTGATCAAAGCCTTGTGTCTCGGGGCTAGGGGCGTCGCTCTAGGGCGGCCGTTTATGTACTCTGTTGCCATGGGGGATGAGGGCGTGGCCAAGGTCATTCAATGTGAGTGTCTGATCCTTTTCATTTTCTCAAAGAAAGAGGGGGCACTTTTCGTGTCTTTACCAAAAAAAAACCCCCCTTCTTCGTCGGCGACGCATATCCGAGACGATGATTCGAAAGACGAACGATTTAAGGCTGACCGTCTACTTTCTACACAGTATTGTCCGAAGAGATCGAGACAACCATGCGCTGCATGGGTGTGACGTCCCTCGACCAATTGAATCCCTCGTATGTGAACACGAAGCTCTTGGAGTTGGAGATTCCAGATCGATTGGTTACAGGGCATGACGATTCGGAATATAGCGAGGCCTGGGTGAGAAGCTTGAAGGCCAGGCTTTAGATCGGATGCGGCCCGCACACGGCAGAAACGGTCAATTGTTTACGCTATAAGGGCTGCAGAGGGTGCAAGAAGGAATGGGACGGTGTTGGAGACTTCTCCCTTATGGAAGGCCAGGCCTGAAGGGCAACATATTAGAGCTCAGAAAATGCTTAAAGTGGACTCGGGGCCAGATATTAGAAGAGATAGATCGGACTCATGATTGCAGCAGTCTATTCAGCTCGTCTACGTGCCGGACATGGGCACATTCCTCCTTTGCCAGGGAACGAGGCTGCCTTCTCTCCCCAAGAGTACTAAAAAGGTGAAACAGAATGGTGGTGGGAATGGTGTTTCAAAAAAGGTTGCCAGTTGACAAATTCATTCCAAATGAACAAGACGAATCAGCAAAGGGTGAATACGTATTGCTCGTAACGTCCGCGGTCATCAAAGGCCAGTCCTGTATTCTCCGCCCAATCGATAAGAGCCAACAGCAACAGTGGTGTCAATCCAAAGATACCAATGTGTCCAAAAGTTCTTCCACCCTCCGATAAAAAAAATCGTCATGGTCAGGCCGTCATTGATTAAAAAGCAACACCCAAAAGCCAAAGCGCTTCTTGCTGTCGAAAGACACTTGTGAATGTTCGTCTACACAAACTTGTGTGCACTGTTGTCATTAGTATTTATTTGCCGGTGTAGTCGAGCATTCCTGCAAGTCGCACTTCTTCCACAAATTTGTCTTCGTCACCAACGGACTGGAGATTCCAATGTCCTGACTGAGGTAGACGGTTGAAGGGACCCCATCCCAACATTTCCTGAATGTTTCGTCTTTTCAGATCGGCATCACCTTGTACGTCGAAGAGTTGTTGTTGAAGACTGCCCATGATAGCCACCGCCGCATTGACCAAGGTCCGATCACCCTCAAAGATCCATATGTCCCAGATGCGACAAAGACGGTCGACATCTAGTCCATTGGAAAAGATTGTCCGGAGCATTGGTTCGAAAACTTCCTCTCCGCGGAAGCCAAGGCAACCCTGTTCCAGTGACCCAAAGAGGTAATCATATAGACGCGGGAATTTGATACCCAAGATCGACACAGCGTGATTATAAGTGCGATTTGTAGTAGTCGTATCATCGGTTTGGAATGCCAACGGCACAGCCCTGTTGAGGCAATTGGCTAAAAGGATAAAGGCCTCTGCGGGGGTCGACAGTTGCAATAAAAGTAACGCGGCGATAAGTTGGATCCCATAGATGTACCCCACGTCACTGCGGTAACATGCATAAGCTTCGCAAACGTCTATGAGATCTTGCCACAGGGGTGCCTGCCGCTGAAACAGGTTGAGCTCAGGGAAAGCCGTTTCGGCATCTCGTTCGATATCGACAAACCACCGTTCCATGCTCTTTTCATCTCGGCCAAGCTGATCGCCGGTCCGCTTCTTGATTTCTTTTGCTCGTTGCAAAGCTCTCTCGTAGCTCTGAACGGTAAGTCCCAGAGGATTTCCTACTGCTCTTTGCCAAACTTTCCCGCGAAGATTCGGACTGACGCCGCGCCAGCAAAGATTATTGACGCGTTTGTCAATGGTCGTGATATCCGTAGTCTCGTCAACATAGTAATGCCAGATCCGATTCAAGGACTCTCTGGTGTCATCCTTTTCGCATTGCTGAACCTGCAGCTTCGTGCGACGCTTCTTATCAGCTTCAATTGAGGCCGCCATCATCCGTTGGTACTCTTTCAAATGCCGCCTTTCCTCTTTCGGATCTTTCGGTGGTAACCACGATGGTCTCGTCCGTGAGAGGATGGCCTCTTTTTCCTTGGAGATCGGCATGAAATCTAACGTGCTCTTTTGAATTGGAGGAAGCTGAATGGACGAGGACCTCGACCCGCGATCCATCGAGGTTTCGAGGCTGTCTCGTGATAATTCACCACGGACTCTTTCAAGTCGTTCTTGTTCCTTTGCCTCAGCATGATACTCCAACGCCTCCGATATGATCCTTGCTTCCTCACTCAGATCAGCCATAGCAAGGTTCCACGACTTTGTTCTGCCGCTAAGACTGTGGCCAGTTTTGTGGGGGGACGAGGGATTTGACGTCGTAGGGGTGAGCGAGACGGATCTTGGAGGGAGTCTGGTCTTTGGCAGACTTTGTGAATGGCGACCTGGTCGTGGAGGTACTTCCGGAACTGTTTTTGCATGTTCTAGAGGTATCGGGCGTGGGCTTGGTGTTGGTTGATACCTTTCCGGGCTTCCACGAAAGCTGGAACGATGTGACCTTTGTCCTGCTGCATGAGGGGAAACAGGGACGTTCCACAAACTCGCATCCTCAGGGAGCTCATCGTCAGAGTCGTGATATTCTGCCTCTAATTCTTTGACCGTTTTTCTGTGGGGCTGCCATGAGGCACGCCTAGCTTGCAGTCCTAAAGCATTTGCCGGTGACTGAGGGATCGGCTGAAGACCGCCAGCACTGAGCGAGGGGGTTGAGAAGGATGCTGGGTTTCTTCGGTTTGGAGGGGAAGAAGACCTAGTTCTCATGCTGCTGGAGTCATAAAACGTCTCTGGGCGAGTGAATCCACGCTTGAAAGTCGCCAGTCTCGAGCCAGCCACTCTTGGTGGTGACGAGTCGTGCCTAGATCCTGATACCGAAACTTGAGTCTGTATTTGTGGGAGCGTAGGCCTCTTCTCCCCGAGACAAGAGTCTTTCGTCTTCATCAGTTCGTGTTGAGAGCCCACCGACTGCATTGAGACGTCGCGCGAGTGACAAAATCTCGGCGTTGCATGTTTATCATCTTCCAAGCCAATCTCTTCAAAGTTGATTATGTCTGCCTCCAAGCCATCCGGACTTGAAAAGGTCGAGGAATAGGAGGAGGATTTTGAGGATCGAGAGCCCGATAGGTCGGGAGGTGAACCCGGAGCGCTGGTAACGGTCGTCGACATCGCATCAAGGATATTATGTGTGTTCGATAAGGTAGTAAGCGAGCGGATTTCAAGGTCTGAGCCTTGCGCTGAGTTTAGAGAGAAATCATTGATGTGGTAGCAACTGTGGGCGTTTCGTGAATAGGTCTCGAGGAGTTGTGCAGTTAGCGGGGCGAAGCTAATTTCCGAGGAACGAGAGGTGTCGATGACGAGGTGTTCTTGCTCAAACAATGTTATATCTGCATGTCGATGCTGTACTGGTTTTGAAGAAACGAGTGTCGGTGCATACCAGAGGCCATACTCACGGTCGAGTTCGACAATTCCAAGGTCCGCCAACTCGAGAGTCGAAGCTTGATCGCGACCAACTGGAATACCTGCCAATGGTGCTTTTAGCCCAGCCCCTGGTAAGGGTGTTTGGGTGATTGGTGGAATTGCGCAAGGTGCTGACATTGTGGAGGATGGGCATGCTGGTGGCAGGGCTCCAGCCAGGAGACTATGCCAGACATGGGGTAGAGCTGGCCGAGTTAGGGGCTCCTCCATCTGAATTGACTGGCTGACAGGAGTCCGACCAGGGGGGCGGCCTTGCCGGAGAACTGTAGCACCGATACTGCGACCGCCACCAAGAGTGGGAAAGTTGGTGAATGGCGAGGGTGGCTGGCAGGATTTCGTCGTAGGTTGGCGGACATCGATTGGGGAGGTTCCAGGGATAAAATCAAGTGTCCGTCATGGTCCACCGCTGGTTGGATGGTCCGTCGCAGCTGTGGGTGCCTGTGGTGCTCGTCAGGAAATCCTGATGCAAGCGAGACGATCTCTAGCAGGGCAATCCGGGACGTCGAGAATATATGTTTTCCAAATGCCCGTCGTCGAGATGCGGTTTGAAGGTCTGTTTCACGCCCCAGGAGATGCGTCGCAGGTTGGACAGGCGTCACGCTGAGACTCGTGGCTTTTGGCAAGGTAGCGCAGCGACATGCGGCCGTCACAGGATTGGGCAAATCGGAGGGTGGAGCGGAGTCTGAGGCGGTATGGCTGTTTCACGACAGTCAATGCGGGTGTCTGAGATCTGAATCTGATCTGCCAGGCGTGGCCGTGTCTGGGGTTATCCTACTGTAGGCATGTAACTCGTGGCGTCGTTATACGAAATGAGCGAGAGGACAGGTCGCGGGGTGCAGTACGAGGTAAGAAGTCCCGAGTACGGAAGATGAATGAGACAATGAATAGTGTTGTTGACTGCGGCAGGTGGGTGAGTCGTTGTGTGAATGTGAGGTGGCTGGTGCTGGCAAGACCAAATCCACGAGTTCAATCCCCAGTCATCAAGATGCCACTCGCAATCCAGAATCCAGCCTACTCCATGCATTTCATTTGCCGTGGCCATGGGCCATGGTAGCGTAGCCCCATTCCATTGCCTATGAACTCCGTAACTACCTCGTACTCGGTATGTGTTCATCTTCCGCGCAACTTGCGGTCGACGTCTCAAAAAACATAATTGCGAAACGCGCTCTCGTTTTCTTGGAGAAGCCCTGCAATAGTCGCTTGTTCCATGTTCATCCTGGCCTGTGTGCTTTCTCGCAACGACCTCAGCCAAATGAGCAGATCCTTGTACTGACTCTGTTTGCGCTGGAGAACGCTTTCAAATGCCGCCGCCGCAATCCAGCACATTTGCCTCCAGCTGATATGCTTGACGTCTGGATTGTCGCCATTCTTCGCACAACAGATCTTGTTTGCTGCCGACACGAGATCTTCAATCAGGCTTCGAAGTAACTTCTGCGACGGTGGTTTTCTTGCTGCCATTCTTGTTACATATTGATGCATCTTCATTGCTGATTCGGTGAAGTTCCCAAGCAATGTCGAGACAACTTGGGTTCGGCTGTTCAGCGACATGTCTAGCAACATCGAATGCATCTGCAGCTTGAGAGACGTCAATATTTTCCTTCTGAAGGTCATTCCTGGTCTCGAACAGCTCTCCACTGTCAGAGCATTGCTAACAAATGCATCCTTCTTCGCTCTGTCCTTTTTCAACTCTAACGTCTCCATATTGATGCCAATTCCACAGTATGGGAAGAAGGTGTTGCTGTGTACTCGTGGCACTTTCTGACCGTTAATGGTCACATCGAAATTGACTAGCGACTTTTCGGCGTTGACCTGGATCCCGTAGTCCTGACCACCACAAGCCATGACTTCCAGAAATCGTCGAGCAAGCTTGTCATCTGTCGTGACCAACAAGAAATCGTCAATGAGCCGCAATAGCAAGCACGACTCCGGCGCCAGAAAGCTTAATTTATTCTGCTCGAACGCACCGTAAAAATAGCTGCACAGAAGACCGCTGAGAACTGAACCTTGAGGGATGCCGTCAATCTGCTTCATGTACTTTTGGCCAATCTTGACCATGCTGTCTCTCACATGAATTCGAAGAAGTTTCAGCAACGACTCCCGACTCCATACTCTGCTATTCCCGGTGTCCGCAAACACAACATGACCCTTCTTGGATGCTATACTGGACACTGATCTTTCCGAGAGCACAGCGCGATTATCAGCTGGGCGGGCTATAGTAGCGAATCGTCGCGTTAGACCTTCTTGACCCATTCGCTGTCCAGCATCCCTCAATTTGACTTCAAGATGCTTCGTTGTCCGGTACGATGTTTCCATAAACAGGGAGTTGACCATTTGCAGCAGAGGCTCTTGTGGGATGGTGTCAAAGCACGATTTGATATCCACCTTGGCGAAAAAAAGGGGAGCTCCCAAGCGGACCGTCTTCTTGAATCCTGCCACCTTTGCATGAATATCGCCAACTGATAACAAGGCAGAGCCTAATGGCGCAGAATTGCGTCCTCGTTCAAAGTTGAGCACACTAAAGACAGGAGCAAGCAGAGTGTTGATACTGTCTCCTAGAAGTCTTTTCCCAGAATCCAGCTTCGGTTGCCGCCGCCTCAAATTCATAATGGGTCTGACACCTTGGTCCTTAGGCAGGAGTCGAAGGTGGCTGTATCCCAATGCACGAGATCGTAGCTTGAGCCGAGCTTCGCCGGGGCTGATGGGAGCATACATGGTCAACTTCAACGTTGCAAGGCTAGGCTCGGAGAGTTTACGCCATACATCCTGCCGAAAGTAGAATAACCGATGGCGGTGCGTAGAACTCTCCGTAACGTAAAAGTGCGCTCGAATGACCGGTATGAGCAAAGAGTCGAAAAGATAGTAGATAAACTCGTGAAAGATCTCGAGTCGCTTTGTGAATTCGGACCGGGACATTTTCCTATCGAAGCTTTTCGGTCCTGAAAGCCATGCAATCGATGTTATGTGGATTCCTTGGACAGCCTGATGCAAGCTCATGCTCTCGAATCGGCGCATTCGAATAAATTCGTCGATTTTCTTCATCACCACGCCATGATTCACTTCACCTTCCATCCCGCTTCCAAGTGCGTGGCGAGGGAGCAGATGGGAGATGACAGAGCGACAAAATGCCGATACTCTAGCCACAGGAGTTGAATGCGGCAGGAATGAAGAATCACCATTATTGCCGTTGGAAACCAAGTCCGTATCCTTTTGCGGCTCCTCAGATGGTACGATCTGTGTCGCGAACAATTCCGAGCTCTGCATTAACGAAGATGTTTCGTCGCTTTGAACAGCAGGATCTTCACAGACAGTAGAACCGAGAGGGCAGTAATGTCTCAGAAGCTGGCTGTAGGAGCATGATCTGTGATTTTGATGAATCTTCTGCACAAGCTGCATGGGCTGGCCACGAAGGCGACGCGGCGCCCATGTCAAGGATTTCTTTCTGAGCCTGATGATTTCTTGTTCGCGGACTGTGTAGTCCTTGAACTGATGTGCGGTCTCGCTTGAATGAACCATTGAGGTGAAAGCATTGTGTAGATTGAATTGACGTGGGAAGACGTACTTCAAAAGATGGACCGCCAGATGCTGTTGCCTTGCATCCGGCAATCTTTGCAGAATATGAGTATGGTGAAGTCCGAACTTGACCTTGCCGACGGCGTTAGACAACGGTCTAGCATATAACATGCGGTTTCTCACGAAACGAATATTCCCGGGATTCAAGATTTGGGTATCTCGTCTATTTGCCAAAACAGCTTCCCTTGGACAATCGGTTTGAATCCGAGGCAGCTCGGAGATTGGAATACCGCTCAATTGGAAATAGTTGTCTCTTCCACTCTCTATCCGTGTGAAGAGGCCACAATCTAGGAGCAAACTTGAGAAAATCACCTCACCATCTACCCCTAGCAAAGATAGGATATCAGACCAAGGGAGGGATTTCAAAGCCATCAGATTCTCGTTGGGATGTTTTCGGACAATTCCAGGCAATAGAGTTGCCGATTCCCCACGCTGATACTCATGATCAGGAGAAGGTCTGCCTCTTTGGAGACCATGGCAAAGAATGTGGTGAGGCCGAACCCTTTGCGCAAAGTTATCTTTGAAGAGCGACCAAATGACGAAGTCGACTATCTGGAACAATCAATCAGGATATGGTTTGACAATGAATCACCGATCGAGTGTGTATCCTACCTCGTCTATGCAACAAGGCTGCGCTCGGCCTGTGCAAGCGCCAGTTGCGCGGGATTGGCTTTGGGTGAAGGTAGCAAAGTCGATTTTCCGCGATTCGTTAACAGACGCCGAAGTACTTTTGAGAACGCCAACCAGACAGGTGTCAAGAAAGGCAGGAGCATTGTTCTTTCCATACAGCCACAGCTTTTGTCTTCGAACACGAGACGTGACAGGCAAGGCTGCCAGAAGGTACCTCCTCAGCGTGCAAACTCTTGGATAGTAGGAAGACAGCACAGCATGGTGGACGGAGGGCAAAAGATCCTGCTGACGGCCGGAGTCATGATCGGCCGGTTTCTGTTGCTTGGCAGGACGATTGGACGCGGTGTCAGCACCTTTTCGCTTTCTCGCCATGAGCGCGACTGTTTACATAGGTAAGCCGCGACTGTCGCAGAACACTGAGAGGGATGGAGGAATGGACGCGTTTCCAAGGATGAGCAATCTTTCTCGGCGAGTAAATCCAACCTACTTTCTCAACAACACGAATCACCCTGGTCGCTGCAAGAGTCAATATCGATCCTCAAGGAAATTAAATATGCACATATGAGTTGGAGGTGTGGAGGCCCGGTGTGTTTCTCGTTCAGATCAGACGCGACAAGGACCAGGCATATATCTACGTGTCGGGATAACGTGATCCGTGAAGCAGCTACCGTGTATCAGTCAAGCAGTCTCTTGAGCCTAAACAACCTAAGACCGACGCGTACCATGATTGTAAGATTCTTGGGTGTTGAAGGCGGCATGATATTGTGCTAGGACGAGAAAGCCGTGCCGCAGATTGCGCTTCGTCAGTTGGTGTGGGTTTCGACTTCTGCCGAGGAAATGCTTGCACGGGAGATGGCCGCTGAGAACGTATCGAACAACGTCTTGCCGATGGTGGTGGTGGTGGTGATGGTTGTATTGGC